CCCGGGAAATTCAAATCCCGGGCTTCATTAGCAAGTGCGGTATGCATACATTACCCCGCTAGTTCGAACTAGCGGGGTAGTGTAGACATACCCTGACATATTTACCAATGTGGTGTCGTTCCCTGGAAAGATGTGTGAAATCCAGTAAGAAAATCTTTTCCACAGAATATTCTGGAGAGTCCATTTAATGTCTGCTTTATGAAGAAAGGTAGCGTGTAGTGTTTGCTGTACTTGAGAGTACATTTCTCTCTTCAGTTAGAGACTGTCACGGGGTGAGGGCGTGGGCCGCCCCCCAACCCGCTGATATTCAGATTTGCTCAATGCGCCGCCCAGTTCTGAACCTCCTGGGCGGAGTGGGGGGTCCGGGCCCACCCTCTCTCCGGACCCCGACCCAGGGCCCTAACACCGAGAGTGTGCCTCTCAGTGGTAGCAGGGGGGCTAGTACCCCAAACACACCTGCTCCTGGGATCCATGACCCGCCCTGGGTCCAGCTCCACTCTGCCGGTCTGAGCCCGCGGCAATTACCCTGCAACCGTGACCGGGGCCTCTCCCTCCATGACCCTTCTGGCTGGAGCCCCTTCCTCCGCTCCACTCTTGCCCTCAGCTTCCTCCCAGCCTGCCCTCCCCATTCCGGCCGCTTCTGCCCCTCTTGTACTGTCCCGGCTCTTCCGGGTTCCCCCCTCCACCTCCGTCGTCGCGCCCGTGACGTCATCCGCGACGTGCCCGGGCGCCCTGTGATGACGGGCCTTGCCCTCCTCCCTCGGACCTCCCCAGACCGAGCGGCCCGCCGCGTTTGTTACCTCCCCGTTAACGGCCCCAGGTAACGTTAGTAAGTGACGGGGTTGCTGTGCCCCGTCACACCCGGGAAATTCGAATCCCGGGCTTCATTTGCAAGTGTGGTATGCCTGTCATCCGCGACGTGCCCGGGCGCCCTGTGATGACGGGCCTTGCCCTCCTCCCTCGGACCTCCCCAGACCGAGCGGCCCGCCGCGTTTGTTACCTCCCCGTTAACGGCCCCAGGTAACGTTAGTAAGTGACGGGGTTGCTGTGCCCCGTCACACCCGGGAAATTCGAATCCCGGGCTTCATTTGCAAGTGTGGTATGCCTACATTACCGTCCTAGTTCGAACTAGGAGGGTAGTGTAGACATACCCCCTGAGCCTCTGGTATTAGTGTGGTATGACCTGTGGTTGTTGGTAAGAATCATCCTGAGGTTAGGTGGTTGTCTATAGGAGACTATGGGTCTGCCTCCCAGAGCCTCTCGGAGTGTAGTATCCTGTTTCGGTATAGGCTGTAGTTTATTGATAATGCGTTGGACGGGTTTAAGTTGGGGACTATAGGTGATGTCAAGTGGTGTTCTATTGTTGGTTTTTTTGGGTCTGTCTTGAAGTAGATGGTTTCTGGGTCTTCGTCTGGCTCTTCCAATTTGTTTTTTTATTTCCCCAGGTGGGTAATTGAGGTTTATAAATGCTTGGTAGAGATCCTGAAGTTATAAATGTATTTATCCTGAAGTTTCTGGTCTCTGTCAGTGGGATTAGAGCAGATGCAGTTGTATCTAAGGGCTTGGCTATAGACGATGGATGGTATGGTGTGTTCTGGATGAGAGCTGGAGGCATGTAGGTAATTGTATGAGTTGGTAGGTTTTCTGTAGAGAGTGGTATCTAGTTTACCATTGGTGATTTATACTGTGGTGTCCAAGAAATGGATCTCTCATATAGAATGGTCCAGGCTGAGACTGATGGGGGGGTTTAAGTTGTTAAAGTCTTTGTGGAATGCATCCAGTATTTTTTGGCCATGGGTCCAGATCATAAAGATGTCATCGATGTAGCGTAAGTAGAGAAGGGATAAAAAGGGGATGGGATCTGAGAAAACATTGTTCTAAGTCAGCCATAAAGATGTTAGTGTACTGTGGGGCCAAGTGGGTACCCATGGCTGTGCCGCTCATCTGGAGGTATAAGTTGTCCCCAAATTGGAAATAATTGTGGGTGAGAACAAAGTTACATAGATCTGCTACCAGATTGGCAGTGGTATCCTCTGGGATAGTGTTTCTAATTATTGATATTTTGTAGTTTTCTCAGGAAGTCAGTAGTATCTCAGAGAGCAGGGAGTGTTGGTTGCGTAGGGTTTGAGAAGAGAGTCTACATGGCTGGATAATCCAGTAGCAAGTGTGCCGATACCTGAGATGATGGGACGTCCGGGGTGTCCAGGTTTATGGATTTTGGGAAGCAGATAGAACAATCCTGGTCGGGGTTCAGAAAGTGTTTCTGTGTGGATTTGGTCCCGAGTAGAGGTAGGGAGTTCTTTA